ATTCTGAAGCTCTGCGAGCTATGATATATTATATAAACTAGATGTCTAACTTCGATCCGAAAAGTTAAGCAGCTTTTTCTTTTTTTAAAAATGCTGGATTAAATTTGTAACCAAACACGATTTAACTTTTCTTTTCTTAAATGAGGTAAGTATATTTTAAATATAAATTCTATGTAAAAGTCTTAAGAGAAAATTAGAATACTTGTAAAATAATAAGTTATGATTCCTGAACTTGTTTCCAATTTAAAAGCATTTTTATGACTTAAAATACCTTTTAATAAACATAGGCTCATAAAAAAAACTTTTATAAGTATTTTATAATTGTTAACAGGGGCGTCCCAAGGAGGGGAATAGGGGTGTCTAGCCCCTCTACCAATTTCATTAGTAAGCAAGTTAGACACTGGAGTCGGCAAAATTGGATCTATAGTTAGCAGTCGGCAAATGTCGGCCAACGAGGACCATTTTTTTTTATCAGATGAGTTAGTACGTAAAAAAAATTTTTTCTAGCTTCAGTCGGCAAAAAACAGACACGTCAATCCCTCTTTAAAATCTCTTCGGGATTGCCCTGAATATTAAAACGTGTTTTTGAATTATCTTTAATTTATTGGAACATGCATTTTTATTTTTTGTTCATACGCTTCGACGTTTACCCTTTTTACAAATGACGGAATATATTTATAAACAAAAATCTAGTTTATATAATATATCATTGCTGCAAGCTAACCGATTGGTCACACTGTAGTGTTATCTTACAAAAAGTTTTAAACTATTTAACAAACAAACGACTTTAAAAAAGGAAATAAATGCTATGCTAAAATTAACGAGATGTTGCCGCAATGCCATTTTCAAGTGAAAGTAAAACTGTAAAACTTGATATATTTTAACATTACATAGTTTGAAGTTTACATAAATTAAATATTTGCATACACTCAAGTTCATATTTTCTAATAAAAATAAGCTGAATTCAATAAGTATGGCTGCGTACAAACTTTTTTTTTTAAATATATATTTGTTTTTAATTTAATATAAATTATTCATCATTTTGCTGAATATTAAAAAGAGCATAACAAAATACACACACATAAAAGGGTTTTTTAAATGTTTCGGTCAACTAGTTTAATGAAAACAATAATGACCCCCAAGCTTTTGTTATTACGTTCACGTTACCACCATCACCCCATTAAGAACTTTTTCGTCACTTCTCAACTCATATCGAACTTTAGCTCTGTTTATTTTAAGTGATTCGCGAATTTTCCGAACATGATACTCTGAAGCAATTTATATGGTTTTGGGATGCAACCAGTCAAAAGTATCTTGGTTAATAATGGTTTGGAATATTCAATAACACCCTGGCACCCGAACCAGCCTATTTTCTTTTATTGACTATTTTTCTGGTGCTCAATACATATTGATATAGTTTTCTTTTTAGTTTCACCATTTTATACTATTGTAATCATATTCTGGATAAAGCAAAAATTGACCTACTCAATCTAGGTGCAAAATTGGTATCGCTACAGAAGAAAACCCTCTATATGCATTATAACTAATATTGAAACGTGTGCTTTTTTGACTTGAAAAACTGGATGAACCAACACAGGTAGAATCTCTAAGTGAAAACTATTCTAAAATTTTGATAAATTTATTAAAATTAGGATTACAGATATTTTAACTTAACAACAACGTCTTTCTATAAAAAAAATTAAAAATGGATTCAGATAATAAGATATATCCTATTGATAAAGAAACAAATTTTGCTTTAATATATCATAAGGATGCATCTTAAACTAAAGAACCAATTAAAAAATAGCAGAAATAAGGACCGGAAAATGTTCGTTTTAACTCGGAATACAAAGTTTACTGAACTTCGGTGCCAAATTTGAAATAGAAATTCAGCTTCCAGTTAAGTTTGGTAACAGTTGACAAATTTCATTTAACTTTTAGTTAAATTCGAAAACAAATAATTTTTTTTCAATTAAAAAAGAAAAATACTGTCAAGTTTATTATTATTAACCTTGGTTATTAATTATGTGGTTGAAGGCAATCTAACAATCAAAGGTTCTTTGGAAAGCTAAGTCAGATTTTCAATTTTTTTTTGATATGTAAAAAGTTTAAAACAGTTATTTTAGCTGGATTTCTCATCGCAGCAATAAATCGTCAGGTTAGAATTATTTTGTTCTATCTCCACATTTTTTTGTTTTGAGATAAAACGATTTAAAATATAAAAACTACGGCATATAAAAAGATTTTTATTAGTTATGTTTGAGACTTTTTTGTTTTTAACTTAGGTTTTAATATAGTAGAAAAACATTATTTTGAGGGACATGATACGATCAATAACTCGATTTTTTCAAAAAGTGGAGATAGAACAAAATAATTCTAACCGGACGAAATGACATTAAGGTTGAAAAAAATTTATCTTTTTTTTTTTTTTTGTTATTTAGGTGCCCCAAGAAGACCTAACGGTCTTGTCACAGAGCACCGCGAAAGTGGATTTAACCAGGAAGTTCATACCTCCTTCCTTACCGCGACGCGAAAATATGTCCAGAGTTTGTCTCGAAGCTGGATCTCCTGCTTATAAAGCAAGCGCTGTAACCACTGCGCCACGGCCGCGCCTAAACAAGTGGACTTCTCCAGTACATTCAGTTTGTAAAATATTGACATTCTTTAAGTGCTTACAAGAATATGCCTAAAAAAATTAAAAAATGAGGAGAGATCTAATTAGAATGTTTGAACTCATTGTTTTCATTGTGGTTTGAATAAAATTACTAAGTGCAAATAATAAAGCTTCTGTCAAGCTCCAAGGCAAACAAATAAATTTTTCTTTTGCAACTATTTTATTCTGGCCCATGAAGAATTTCAATTTACCTAAAATTTATAGTAGAGCATAATTTTAACTTCAAAGACACTAGGAGGAAACTAACTCATTCGCCAACATTCCAAAAAGATATGGCAGATTTTTTCATGACAACAAGCAACAAGATCAGACGTTTGAAAAATTTTAACGTGATTTTTTTTATTATTGACACTGTAATACATCAACATCATTCATGTTACCAGGCCACAAAGCAATTCACTGATTTTCTTACATTTTTGCATCCTCAGCATCATAATAACTTTTCTCTTACTGAAATAGAGCTTGCTACAACTAAATTTGTAAAATCATACTCTAATGATGCGAATGACCATTTATATTAGAAACAAATATTCTATCACTTTATTGTGCATCAAAAAAATATTAAATAACCGAGACGTTTTTGTAAAGGCATTTAAAAGATAAAAAAATGATAAACGAGAAAGAGTTAATGGATTTTATATGACAAAGGACGAGAAGAAATCAATAGTCTATTGTTAATTAAATACAAAAAACATTATATAATCTGACAGGAGAAGTTGGTAAAAACATTGACTGATATACGGGTGCCAAGAAGCCACCTAAATTAAAGAATGGCTATTCTGGACCATTTTGGTTAAAAAATTTTAGGGCGAAACTAAAAGATTTGAGGTCAAAACATTAATCCGTTGCAATGAATGACAAATCATATTTAAAACTTGATTCTATCGGATGCAAGTTATCACTTTTCCTCGTCACGAAATCTGTGCCAATTTTCTTTTAATTTAATAACCTAATGGATAACATACAAATGAGTCTGTCTACAATTACTTAAGACAGATGTTTTTTTAAAGACCGGTGTTATTATTAAAGACCGGTGTAACTTTTTAAAACCGATGTCATTTTTTATGATAACTACAGCAGTTATATAAGCTACAATGTTCCAAGGGAATGCAAATTTACATAATAAGTTTCCCATCAAATGATACTCACATTTTACAAATAACAGACGCTTTAATGTTTGGAACAATGAAACATGATTGGAAAATAGAAGTATATGAATGGAAACAAATAAATTAAAAAAAAAATTAATGAATATTTTTTGAAAAAATTTTAAAACTGACGAATTGTCTGTATCATAAAAAAAAAATGTTTTTGAAGCATAGACATTTTTCGTTTATCAAAAAGCACATAAATATCATTGTCTTGGAAGAATTATACCCAGAGAATTTTAGAAAGAAAAGGAAACCGAAAAAATTCAAAAAAAGTAAATAATGAAAGAAGAACTATTGGTGCCGTGCGAATATAGTTTTAGCCGATAAAAATTTAAACATCAAAAAGAAGAACCATTTAAATGAATTCTTTGATAAATATATTTCTTAACTTCTATTTTATAGAATATGTCTTTACAATTCCAAGTGAATAGGAGTGTTTTTAATATAAGATACAAGTATAAATTATTGTAAATGCAAAATAAAAGATGTTAAAAAATTTTAATGTTTAGTCAATGGCATAGGCATTATATAACTAATTTTATGTTGTTATTGCAATGTTTTTAATTAAATTGCTGAAAAAGAGTTAAATAACTATTCATCGTGTTTGTTAGACACTTTGAAGTTTTCATTTCTAGTATTGTACTTCCCAGCAAGCACAATCAACGTTGAAAAACCATTGAAATTTATGGTTGAAAAATGGTTGATTTTTCGTTGAAATGGAAACACAAATCAACTTAGAAAAAAAAAGTTAGATCAACGTTGAAAACAAACCAAAAATCAACGTTAGATTAAGGTTGATTTAACGTTGATTCAACCAACTTATATACGAGTTTATAAACCTCAAAAATACAGCTTTTAACGCCGTGACTCTTTTAATCCGAAAAAACATTTATTTTTTGCACAATATTGTGTTGTTATGAGTAAAAAAAGAAACAATAATTCTTCATAAACTTATAATAGCTTTCATAGTACAATATCTTATGCTATTGTACTGCACATCTTGTTCTCAATCTTTACAGCTTTCATTTATTATTACTATTAGTATTATTAATTTATTTTATATTACTAACTGCTGTTATAGTATTACAAATAATTTGCCCTGTACCATTTTTTTAACGCAGGTAACTAAATTTTGGAAATTGAAAAGCAATTATTGAAATCAAATAAAACCAAAAAAAAATAATTTATACATTTTAAGAACAAAAACTTATACAAAATTAAAAATATTTTCAAAACGATCTTGATAAAATCATGATATCGTTGTCTTCAACACCAATATCAAATTTGTATGTATTTTTATCGTCTTCTGTCATTAGACTCATTTTTATTTGATGCACATTTTTCACAATCCAATCAATATGATCCAAGCTTCAAACAGTCTAAATTCTATCCTTGTGCATTGTGTCTTTTTATTGAAGAACATCACGTAACTGCATCTAAATAAAAATAACTTTAAAGTAAGGAACATTTGTACATTTTACAAATATTATTATACTTTACATTGTTCACAAACTAATGTGAACATCAAGTGATCAATAGTGGGAAAAAAAACAACCCATTACTGGTCCGTGCCTAATTTACTTCATTAATGACCAAGATATCAACCTATTTGAATAAAGACACATTATACATTAACATCATACATTAACGCATATATACACACACATAACACAAACCTTTTAGACAGTTATACATCGCTTAAGTCAAACATTCCTTTAGTAGAACCATTTTCTTTGGTCCCCTGGTGGGTCAAGATATCTGTAATTAACTGTATTTATATATACATATATGTATATATGTATACACATATATGTATATATACATACACCCACACACACACACACACACACACACACACACACACACACACACACACACACACACACACACACACACACACACATATATATATATATATATATATATATATATATATATATATATATATATATATATATATATTTGAATGTAGACATCATGTATGAGAGTATGTAAATTATTATTTTATAAACATCAATAAATACGATTTTCTCTTGATATTAAATTTTTTTTTTTAAAAATCCAGCGAAAATTTCTTTCACCACTGATATATATATATATATATATATATATATATATATATATATATATATATATATATATATATATATATATATATGTATATATATATATATATATATATATATATATATATATATATATATATATATATATATATATATATATATGTATATAATATATACATATATATATATATATATATATATATATATATATATATATATATATATATATATATATATATATATATATATATATATATATATACATATATATATATATATATATATATATATATAATTTAAGTGACATCTTTAATAGTATGTGTAATTATAAGCATTAAAACATCATATACGGTATCATACTATTTATTTCTTTTCTCTATAAGTGATATTTCGGCTCATATAGTAAGAGCCATTATCAAACTAATAAAACCGTTGACTCACCATTGGAAACCATTGGTGACCAATGGTGATGACTCACCATTGGAAACCATTTTTTGTAAAATTAAAAAATGTTGAAATTTGACGTTGCAATGACATCATTTGTTTAGGTTTATTATAATTTTTTAAACGGTTTATTTAACGGTTTTATTAGTTTGATAATGGCTCTTACTATATGAGCCGAAATATCACTTATAGAGAAAAGAAATAAATAGTATGATACCGTATATGATGTTTTAATGCTTATATATATATATATATATATATATATATATATATATATATATATATATATATATATATATATATATATATATATATATATATATATATATATATATATATATATATATATATATATATATATATATATATATATATATATATATATATATACATATCGGTGGGAGCAGCGCAAAGAAATATAATATACATACTAATAACAACTTGTAAATATTTAAAATCCATTCTTTTTTGTTTGTTTTGTTCAAGATCTGATCAAGTAAAACTTCGTTTTTAATTTATTTGCCATTAACCTGCGAAATCAAAATAACTTTATTCAAAAAAAAAAAAAAAAAAAAAAAAAAGTAAAAATACAATTAAATTTAAATTAATTATATTAAAATAAATTAAATTAATGGAATACTCAAATCACACCTTAACAAAAAACAATAAAATCATGGCAAAAAAATGTGATAAACAAAATCTTAATTAAGATCTGAAAAACTAGACATGAATATAACTGAGAAGTTTGAGTTAGTAGACAAACCAATCTAGACTAGGCTATATAAATGTGATATGATACTCAACGGATATTTTGAAATATTTTAAAAGAAGAAGTGAGAAAGTTAGAGAAAAGCTGTTTATAAACAGCTTTTCCCCTAACTTTCTTTCTTCTTTTTAATAAGTTTTTTGCTGTTTTGAAGTCTGTTTATAAAAAATATTAGCTCTAACTTGAGCATGCAGTTAGCAACTTTTAATAATTTTTTCTTTTTTTATAAATGCTAACTTTTTTATAAATACTACAAATAAGAAAATAATAAATAATTATTAGAAATAAGTAAATAAATAATTATAATATTGATAATAATAAATAAAATTTGAAATTTATTTAACAATTTGTCATCTATGTAACTTGATGATTTAGATTATATTATGTGTAAAAAAAACTGTTAGCAGAAAGTTGTCATGAATTGTACAATATTGACATATCCAAAACAATTATCTATAAACCCAGTGGGCACGGAAGTAAAAAAGACGTCTTTTAAACGTTTAAAATACGTCCAAAACGTTCAAAAGACGTTCAGAAAACGTCTAAAACGTGTATAAGACGTTTAAAAGACGTCTTTTTTTACTTCCGTGCCCACTGGGAAGGCAGGGTAATTAAAGTTAATTAAAAATGTCATAATTTACATTCTTTGTTACTTTCATAATGTTTATATAATGGCATAGGCATTATATAACTAGAATGTGTTTTATTTATTTTAATTTAAATTCCGCTACAGTTGAACAGCTTGACATGAACAATACATAAAAAAAAACCTTTTTGTTTTTTAGATCTTTATTGATTGGCTCCTACTCTCTGGATGAGCATTATATGCACATGAAAAAAACAAAGTACATATATTTAAAAATGACTTTATTGTATACTTTAGCTCCTATATATTAAAGCTTACATTAAATAGTCTATTTTTTTTTTAACTAAAGCTTTAAATTTTTGTTCTGTTCTACTGTGCAAGATATCTTTATTCTATTTTAATAATGCAGCAAAATATTAAAAGAAACAATGGTAAAATAAAAATACCAACCTATGTTGGAGTTATGTTAATGCCTGCAATCCAATTTATATAAGTTTTTCTTTACCTGATGTTATTATACCTATTCTTAACAAAAAGAATACAATAAATACTTTACATAAGATTTGATAAAGATTAAATGGTTTTAATCTTTATCAAATCTTATTTATATTATATAAATTATATAATACAATTAAATGAATACTCCTATATAAATATTTATATAAATAATACTGCAATATAAATAAATTTATAAGACTCTATAGACTATAATATTAATAATATAAATAATTGATTAATACTGCTCTTATAAATATATGTAATAATCATTTATACATAATAGGTTATAATGCCTGTAGTTTCATTACATTTAAGTTTAAACTTATACCAACCAACTGTTGTACTATATTTTAATTTTTTACTGCAAATTTCGGATTCGGACAGTCACAAAACGAGTTGAGTCACAAAACGAGTTACCATCTTTGTAGGGGGGAAACATTGATTAGCGTGATTAGCGCGTTTAGTCCATTGTTTTAATTTTAAGTTATTAAACAAAACGTATTTTGATTAATGTTTTCCCTCTACAGAGATGGCAACTCGTTTTGTGAAGCGTCGCGACCTCAAGGATTGTCCGAATCGAAATGTAAAATTTGCAGTAAAAAATTAAAATATAGTACAACAGGTTAATAAAATCAAATTGTATGAATAAGTTCATCGGTTTCTCGTAATAATTTATTTTATTGCATAGTTTTAGTGCTCTGCATAAAAATCGATGACTTTGTAGGTATGGTTTAAGTTGTTAATTGATTTGAAATATATCTTTGTTCTAAGTACTACCAGTGGGCACGGGACCTAAAAAAGACGTCTTCTGAACGTTCAAAAGATGTTCAAAACATTTAAAAGACGTTTAAAAGACGTCTTTTTTACGTTCTGTGACCTCTGGGTTAATTTTGACTAGTTAAAATAAAATTTTATACTATGCATTGCTTAGGCTTTGAATTTGTTTTTTCGTCTAGTAAATTATAAAACTTGAGCCGAAATCAAAGGTAGAATGAATGTTTTGAAGAGTTGCAAATCAAATTTGAATGCTAGACCAAGTAAATAAGTTATATGGTATGATAAAGGAAAGAATCAGCGTGATTTCTCGCTGAAACAATTAAATTCGTAACTAAGTTCGATTTATCTTATCAAGTTAAAAAAATAATATCTTTTACAATTAAAAAATTATATTCATTATTTCAAATTACATTATTACAATGATGTCATGAAGATATTACTTTAATGATATCATTCAAAACTATATTTTTGTACTAATTTTTTATTTATTTTATTATAAGGCATAGCATTTAACATTGATAAAAATATTTGAATATGAATAAAAAGGGTGTAAAACTGATTATCATTATTGGTAGTCCCGAAAGTTAAACACACTGTGTCTACCTCTGTACGAGCTATAGCTCGTACAGAGTGAATATGCATAGGGAGACAAAGTCTAGCGCTAGACTTTGTCTCCCTATGCATATTCAATCTTATCAGCAGTTTTTAAACGTATGCTTGAAACAATTATTATTATTTAAAAAAATTGACGATAAAAAGTTAAACAACAAACTGTATGAAATAGAATATATAAAATAAACTGTATAAAATAGACTGTATGAAATAGACTTGATAAAATAAACTGTAATAAAACTGCGATTTAATTTAATTTAATTTAATTTTTATTTAATTTAATTTATTTAAATTTAAATTTTTTTTTTTTTAATTTTATTTAATTTAAGTTTATTTAATTTAATTTAATTTAAAGTATATAGTAAAATATAATATATATAATATTATAAAATATATATAAAATATAATATATAATTAAAATTTAATTTAAAATATATATTTAATATAAAATATATAAATTAATATATAAAAGATTTAATTTAATTTAAAAAAAAAACAAGTTTGATTTTTTTACGATTAAAAAAATTATTTTTTAAAGCCAAAAAATGTTACGGTCAAATTACCAAATATTATCACTAATGCTCGTAACAAAAGTATAAAATAATATATTAGACTTTGTTTTATTGTCTGGAGAAATTTTATAACATTTTATCAAGTAATTAAATGTTATGGAAATCTTTGTTGTTAAAAAAGCGACGGTCATTTAATATATCGTTTATTCTCCTTAACAAACAATAAACTATACTATTTATTTGAAATTATTATTTGATCATTCAGATTTACTATTATAGATACCAGTAGTGAAGGTGCAAAAAGCGATATGCTTCTTTTTGAAATGAGCAAGTACATTGTGCAAATTTATTAGTAATTCTTTCATTTAAGAATTTATTAAACATTCTTTACTGTTGAAGTAAGGTTGGTGAAATAATGTCTACTCTATAATAACTAGTGATATTTTAAAGCTTCTGTCATTAGGCACAATTGCAGATATAGGCTTTAAAAAATCAATATTTGAATATTTTCAAAAATTTTCAATTAATATGGATATTTAATGTTTTCATTTCTAGTATAAATAGTAAAAGAAAGAACTTTTTTCATTATTTCTCGAAAATTTCAAATATTTTTCATTCATCTTTTTTTTACTATTGTTAATGGATGGTGACAAATTAAAAAGTAAAGTTATTAAATATACTCGTTTTAATTACTCCGTCTTCAAAATAAACTTGAAAAAAAAATTATTTATTAATATGTAATAAGAGTCAAGAAATCAAAAGTTACCAATGTGTTAGTTACCGATATGTTGGTTACCGATGTGTTGGTTAATGATTTAAAATGATAAATTACTTCATAATGCTTCATTCAAAGTTATTCAAATTGTTAACACATGTAATCTCAACTGATGAGGTTTTTCCATTAAAGACATCAAATTAAAATTTCATAATTTAAAGTTAAAAAAATACATTTTAGGTTAACAAACCACAAACACAAACCACAAACACAACCTAAATGACAGACTTCGATTTAAAGTTAAATTAAATTAACTTGAGTAATTTTTCTAATTGAAAAGATTGTGAAAGATTTTTTTTTGTAAAGTTTTAATTACATGATAATAATTTTTTCCATCTCAACTGTGCAGATTTTCCACCTTAACTGTTCAGGTTTTCCATCTCAACTGTTCAGATTTTTCCATGAAAAGATCAAATATAAACCAAATATAAATAGAGATCAAATTATTAATTAAGTTGAATTTTATTTTAAATTTTAACCTTAGACAAACCACAAATACAAATCAAATGACAGAATTCTATTTAAATATAACTTGAATGAATTTGAGTAAATATCTAATGACAGTATTTAATTAACTTTTTTTTTTAAAGTAATAAATAGCCATTTTCAAAAACAAAAAAAAAAAAAAAAGAAGAAGAAGAAGAAGAAAAAGAAGGCAAAGAAAAAAGTTTGAAAAAATGGTATTTCTTTTAATAGTTTTATAAATAATTTTAAGTTTTTTTTTAAATTACAATTTAGATGACAGATTTCTATTTCAGGTTAATTCAAATAAGTTTCTATCGGTAATGAATACTTGGGGTCAATTTAACCGTTTACAAAAAACTAAAACTATATAATTTTACTTTTTTGTATTATTTAATATTATACTATTAACGTTAAATTCTATAAGATTTAGTAAATAAAATGTCTAGAAAATTAGAGAACTTGGCAAATGCCAAAATTAGCAAAATTTTTGTAGCATAAAGTTATAATACTTTTATAATTAGTTATTACATACACGCACGCGCGTACACACAGACATTTTTAACTGAAAAGGCACCCACTAAAACCGAAACCCTTAAATGATGTTCGACATAGTATACACTCGACAAGTATACAAACGAGTTTTCTATTATTGAAAAAGCCTCGATCTAAAACAAAACTGTGATTCGATGTTCTTAAACATCATTGTTTGGAAAATAACAGTAAACTTGTTTCTTCATGCAGCGGCCTTGTTTGACAAGGTTTGTGTTTTTCAACAATATGACACAGATTTATTTTTACTGAAGGTGATACAAGTAAAAAAAAATGAAGGTGATACAAGTAAAAAAAAATGTTACAATTTTAAAAGTTAAAATTTTCAGATTTTTATCTTCCTTCAAATTTGATTCATTGAAAAATAAACTCATTGTAGATTTCAAAAATGTAGAGCTCTAAATGTTTATACTAATTTATTGACATAAAATATTAATTTATAATAATTTGCTTGACGGTCTGAATGGACTGTTCAAATAGTATTTTTTCAGACTTTCAGGGAATATTATAGAAAAAAAAAAGTATAAAAAAATAAAAAAATGCATAGTATTATAATGCATTATTAATATAATACATTATTCTATGTCCGAAGATATTTCTCGGTGACGCCTTGTGTTTTTAAAAGCTTTAGCATGTTTGGTTCTATTTCCTTATCAGTCTTGTGACGCAGTAAGCCAAGCCCCTCAAAATCGACTTAGATGTGGATTCTTCGTTACAGTTTCTGCAAACAAAATAATTTAGATTTGAATAATAATTCATAAAAAAAGTAACTATAAACGATTTTAACAAAGTTAATTTTTACTTAAATTTTTTTTCGAGGTATATTTGTTTGGGGTCATATGCATTTGTATTTACTGTCACTATTACGGCAAGAAACATCCACAAGAGTACAATCAAGTTAGTATCCAACCTGGTGAAAACAATAATTTTAATAAATAAAGGAAAAAATTTTAAAAGTTAGAATGGTTTCTAAAGTATTTAGTAGACAGAACACATGATAAACTGTATAAAACATATAGTTTATTCTGTGTTCTGGGAAGTAAAGATGAGGCTCCTTATATCTTTAAGACACGGATAAGTAGAATGATAATAAGCATCTATTATATAATACATTGTATAATATAATATATTATATAATCAACCCTCGGAATTAGGGTCGGCATTCGGTAATGCCAACCTAACTGCCTAATTAGAAGTGTTTAAGGTCAGCAAAAAATCGCCGACCTCGTTTCTATGTTTTATGGTCTAATCTTTGTTTTACATAAATAATAAGGTCGGCAATAATTTGCCGGCTCTAATCTGTGTAAGGTCGGCATCACACCTGATGACGACCTCACACCGGCAAATTATTCCGAGAGCTAATAATGCTTATAACACTTAACAAACCATTGTTTTAAAAATGTCAAAATCTCTTAGTTTTACTTTGAATTCTTCCGCTACTCTTTAACTTTTTATAGGTTGCAACAAAATTATGTATTCAAGCTACTAAGAAGCCTGACAGTTGATATCATTGTTTCTTAAGAGACTATTTAGAACCGCACTATAACTATTTTGTGTCATTTTTATCTCCTGTTGACACTTTATAATTTCTTTCAGTATTGACATTTTAGAATCGCATTTTGCAATACTGACATCGTATTTGAATAAACAAAGTGCTTATAATACAGGAAGAAAAATTTTTAACAGATTTTTTCTGCTAAATCAACCACTATGTTATATTTTTTATATACCGTGTAAAAAAGATTATTATTTTTTTTCTTTGATAACTTTTATCTTATCAATGTTACACTTATGTCAAATTGAATCCATAACAAAGTCACCCAATAGATTTTTTAATTAAGTTTTAAATATTTAACATTAAAGTCTAACTTTTTAAAGTTTAACTTAAATAAGTTGAAATATTTCATTAAAAACAATTATTCATAAAATAGAACTTAGAAATTAATTTAAAGAAATAATAAATATTATAGAAATACAAAAACATTCCTACGGGCATTTGTTTTTCAAAGTTACGTTAAATATGTAAAATAACAATTTTACTGTAATTGCTATAGCTAAATATTGACTGCGTTATAAAAATTTACTTGGTTATTAAGCATCTCAGCGGGCATTTGTTTTTAAAAGTTACGTTCTAAATGTATTTTAAACGTTCTTTACGTAAGAATGTCTAGAAGACGTTTAAAAGACGTTTAAAATACATTTAGAACGTAACTTTTAAAAACAAATGCCCGCTGGGATACTTAATAACCAAGTAAATTTTTATAACGCAGTAAAAATTTAGCTATAGAAATTACAGTAAAATTGTTATTTTACATTATTATACATTTGTATTATATATAATAATAATTTTTGTAATTTTTGATAATTTTGAGTTAAAAAAAACTTCTATCTCCTCTGGCTACTGATACAGGGAGCAAAACCAAAATTTTCAATGCTAAACACTCATTAGGAATAATGTGTAGCATTAAAAACCAAACATTTTCGACAATGTTGAAAATGAAAATGGTGTTTTGGAACCATAAATATTTTAGCTAAAGCTAAGATTACAATTTCACCAAACAGTTCATTCCTATTGACGACACTCTTGCATCAGCTGTCAAAACGGAATGCAGATTTTCGCACTTTTCTTTAAATGCATCTGATTCATATTTTTTATTCTCTTATGTTATAGATGAATTTAAAATGTTTGCTGTGATTTTCCATCTGCTCAAATCTTTATGACAAATAATTAACTTGTGAGGATAAAACTACAAAAAGTCAACTCCGTTGCCAAAATTTATCATTTTACAAATTTGCCAAAATTTATCAATTTACAGATTTATCTTTACCTTTATAGTAAAATTGTTTCTTAATTTTTTTTAGCCTGACACAACTTCTTCAGAGAACTTTAGATCAATGAACATTTTTTTAACCAGTTAAATAGCATCTGTAGTAACACTATACAGCCCATTTTCCGATCTCATGTTCTCCAAAAAAGTCTTGACACTTTCAATTAGTTTCAAAGTGCTCTGCAGATTAACAGTTTTCATCTTAAGTGTTTTGCTTAATAAATTAAACTTGAACAAGGCCAAACAAGAGACCAAAGAGCATTATAATTTAAATTCTGTATCTTTTTTGGCAGTTCTTATCGTGGATTCATAAAATGCGTAATAAACCTCATCAATGTGTTATTGCAAATATTCGCAGCGTCTATCCTGCTATCCCTACGGGTTTTACTTAAAGGACTAAGAGACAAATTATTTACATACTTTGTTTATATACTCCATATAGGGACTGATCCAGAAAAAAAGTTATAAACCTCCTGAATATATTGAAAAAGTTAACAGCTAGAGTACAGGAAAATGCTGCATAATTTGCAACAAGGTTTAGTGAATGGCTTTCTCAAGAAACAAAAAGATTCTCGTCAAAATTTTTTTTGTACGCCTATATTCTTTCTTTTTAGGCGTGATCCATTATCATAACCTTGGCCTCGAATAATTTATAAGGATCTTTCTATTTTTTAAAAGCTCGTTTAACAAGCAAGATGTCAATCTTTGCCTTGATTTATCTAAGAAATGAATAAATACAAGAAAACGTTCCCTCACCATTACCCCTTGTCCTGTAGCTGCATACACAAACCAAACTACAATTATCATTTGTTCTTTACAAATTACGAAACTTATTTTAACTTTTTTGCTTAAAGAAAAAGTTTCTTAGCCAGTTACCCGACGATAATGTTTAGAAAAAACAATGCCAAATTTTGAAATGTGCAACACTTTTTAAAAAGTTTATATCGTTTTCTTTGAAAAAAATTTCACTTGTTCCATAAAAAGCTTGAGTACCAAGTAGCTTGAGTAACAAGAGCTTAATACAAAGAGAAGAGTTAAAACTAATGTTTTTGTTTTAAAACAAGTTTTTAAAACAAACTTGTTTTAAAAACTTGTGAAAATGAAAATGATGTTTTGGAACCATAAAAATCTATCAGGTCAACTTACTGAATATATATTTTTATTTTGATCTCTAAAATAACAGTACATAATGGCAAATGCATGTATGCACCTTTGATCATAGGATCAAAGGTGCATACACACACATACACACACACACACACAAAAAAATGTTTAACTTTTAAAGTAACATGCTTAATACGTCATATTGTTTTTAAATATATTTTTTTCTTTTGAAATAAAGCCTTAAAATAAAGATTTTATACTATTTTTTATTTTTTTGTTTTCCAAAAACTTTTATATAATATAATTATAAAGTATTCAATATATAAACGCATTAGGATTAAGGGTGCTAACCAGCTCCATTTTTACAAAAATTCTTTTTTTGTCATATTAGATGCTTCTATAGCTTACCAAAAGCAACCATACAAGAGGTGAATAGTTTAGTTACAAAATGACATAAGCATAATTATTAAACTTAAAAAAATAATAAAGATGTGAGGTTCCTTGTAAAAGTGAAAAAATTACTTTTTGTCGTCAAAATCAAACTATTTAGAAATAAATTTAATTGTGGTCTCTTCTCTAACCAAAACACAATTAATTTTGAAGATATAATATTTATAACACACTGGTTATCAGCCCTCTTTAATAAGTTATGTAAGTATGGAGATAACGCTATACGATCAAAGGTGCTTACGGATCAAGGGTGCAAGTTCTCCCCTAAGCCCGTTAAAGTAACGTTTTTTTAAATAAACGATAACATAAAACATTAACTTGCTCAGCTTTATTTTGAAGCTGTTTGCCTCTGGGTACAAATAATTTTCTGTTAATTATACGTGCGTACAAATAACAAACAAAATTAATTGTAGGTGCATAATAATAACAGACAATATATTTGTACGCGCGTAACTTAAACGAACATCTTAAATGTACACGTGTACAAATAACAAACAAATTAGTTGAGCGTGCGTTCACATAACAAACAAATTAGTTGTACGCGCGTACAATAACAATCAAATTAGTTGTATGCACGTACAAAAAAATACTTAATAAACAAATGTACTTAAAAATAATTTTGTATTTTATGTTTTTGTTTTAGAAAATTTTGCTGTTCCTAATAACCTTTTACGCTAGATTCAGATCAGGTTTGAAAATAAATAAATACTTTTAACACTTCTGTTATTAATAATAATAACTTAATATATTAATAATAATAACTTACTATTATTAATTGTATTTATTAGTTTAGGGTATGTTCTAAAAGTTAATTAAATTTTGATATATGTAGCTTCAAAATGTTGATAAGTTTAATGACGGTCTACTGTTAGCAGGGCCGGTGCGAGTAGGTGTCACATAGAGAGGAGGAGGGGGGGTTGGAAGAAAAAAATTACAATTTTTGCTGACAAATTTAGACTGACTGTCTAAAATTGCCCGCTGGCTAGTCTGAGAGGGTCAAAGTTGCCTACAGAAAAATAACGAATAAAATGAACGATGGGGGAGGGAGAAGTAATTGTAATTTCTAAACCTGTTAGAGCTGATATCACAGTTTATATCAGATTTTGATGTTAGGACGGCATCACTAACATCAAAAAAACTTACTAACAGCAGCACAACCAAATAAAGAAAAACATAAGCTAAAATTAAAAATAAAATAAGTGTATTTTAGTTATGCATTATATTTAAGTTTATTTTCATGGTGGATATAAAAAATGTCATTCTAAATTAGTTAAAAATCGATATATATTTATTGCTGATCCACTGTTTTATTAATTGGAGGACAATCATGTTATGAATTTCATGTCCTAATTTAATAACAAAACACATCTTATAACAGAGTTTCAATAGTTTACATTTTTTTTGTATCTGTTCCAAAAAAACATTTGTACAATTAAATTTTATACTAGTTATTACTCAAAAACTTTCTTAATTCCAATTTTTAAGCTTAGATTTAAAATATAATAACATAAAAAATATAGAATAATTATATTTATAAAATAAAACAAAAAATAATACTCCATCTGTTCCGAAATATCGTTACGATTTGCATTCAACGTAAAGAGTTATTGAAAATAAATTATGTTTTTAATTAAATGCATTTTTTATATAAAATGTTCTTCTATAATGTTATAAACAATTTATTCCGGTAATACTATATAATACCATCAAAACATTAATTTCTAAAAAGGATTTTTTTCTTATGAAATATTTTGTCCCAAAATTTTGTTCTGATTTGTTTAAAATGAATTAAAAACTTATAAGTTTAATAACATTTTATTGTTTTTAGTGGAAATAAAAAAATTGTAACAGCTTTTTAAAAGTTCTTAACTAATATAAGTTACAGCTTTTTAATAATTTTTAACCAGTAATAAGTTATTTAAGTGTTTAAACAATTAAGTTTATATACTTTATGCTCAATTGATGACTTTATTATTTTTAATTCTGTTACAAATAAAGACTGGTGTAGGGTTGTTAACCGGAGGATTTCGTGCAATTCCGGAAAAACAACATTCTTTCGTAAGGAGATTGAGAACGAGGAATTACATTTTTTCGTACCGAATGTTACAAAACATTTAAAATCGCCGATGTTCATTTCGCAAAAGCCACTTCCGAAATTTAGCATTTCGCAAGTTAACATACGAAACAAAACTATTTTGCAACATACGAAAGTAGCGGTCTCGGAAGTCGCACTTGCGAAACAAACATTTTCGCCAAACGACGTTTTGAAGTCAATAAAAAAAATTTGTTTGCCAGACTGATTTTAATTGTAAAAATTAACATCTTTAAATCCCAAAATGTTTATAATGAATTTTTATTTTCAGTATAATAACATATTAAATTTTTATGGTTTTATTTTTAGAAATATTGATGAAAAATAAAATTTCTTTCGAAACGAAAGTATTTCGGATCACAACATACGAAAGAATTCTTAACGGAAATAAACTTACGAAACATGCCATAATAAATATATATAACGATGTTTTTTGAACTCATTACGTATATTAAAAATAAGAATGATAGGTAGGAATATACATGTTTTTTTTTTTAAAGCATATGAAATTTTTAAAACAGGGTCGAATATGCTTAAGCAAATAGTAAAAAGAGGCTCAAAAATATGCTTTAGCTTAAGCATGTTTCTGATAAAATATACCTATTTCAATAATTTCTAAAAGTGTGCACGTTACTAAAGTTCTAGCAGATTTTAAAGGTATGTAGAGTCCCGTTTGAATACGCTTTTCGAAGTATAGATCTTAGAAAATATTGTTTTTGATAAGATATAAATTTAAGTATAAGATCTTATAGTTCAATCAGTTAGATACGTGATAATTCGCCGCAGAGATCCGGGTTCGCATCCCGCAGCCATTGTAACTTTTGTTCATCAAACTCTTTTTACTTAAGATAGCATTTTTTGACCTCCATGTTCTATATTACAGATCTTTCGTCAGCTTCATAATAGTGACAACCTCTCTTCTGTTAGTTATTCTTTTAAGATTGAGTTCATTGTGCTTAATTCTACACATTTCCCTTGCTTTACTAAGTTCTACTTAAATTATGATGAAATGTACGTAAAACAACTTTTTCAAATAAAATAAATCATTTTGCTTTAAATCTTTTAATTTAATGCTTTTTGTACTAGACAGTACTAGAGCTTAAATGCTTTTTGTACTAGACATCTGTCCTAAACACTTTGTAATAATTTCTAGCTAACTCTGAGTCTAATATAATCATTTCTGAATATGATTTCCCTGAGGCTCCTACAGCCTATTGTGTTCCATTAAAAGTAACTAGTTTTCGAGTCCAGATATTATTTATAAGCAACTAAAGGTTCACATTACTATTCATTTTCCTGATATATAGAATTCTATTCTATATATCAGGAAATTCTGTTTTATATAGTTTCTTAATTATATAATAAATAAATATTACTATTCACTTAGTTGAATGAACGTATAGCTCATTCAGTTAAGACATTTGGCCGCGGTAAAATAATTTAAACTGTTAACAGTTAATATTTTAAATATATCGTAACATAAAATCTTTTGCGTCTTTTTCGTAACTGCACATTCCGGAATGCTTTTTCCGTAAGGAACTATTTCGTAAGTATTCTTACGAAATAATTTGTTTCGCAAGTTTTCTTTCGCAATGCTTTATTACGGAATTTTATTTATTTATATTTTCGTATTGCGCGTTACGGAATGTGCATTTTTTCATGTGCAACTTCCGCAATAACAATTCTATTACGGTAGATAAAGATGCGAAATTTTCGCAAGTTTTGTTTTTCGGCGAACAACCCTAGACTGGTGACTAATTTGTGGCGTTTTTATTGAGTTTTTCTATTGCAGTAACATAATATTTTAAATTTAGAAACAGGTAACATAAATTATTTTACTTTAAAAATTTACAATTTATTTTTGCGAAAAATAAGTTTTCGCAAAAATAAATAGCAAGTTTTTTTAGCAAATAAAAGAGAAACACATGAACTTAAAAACGATACACATGAACTTAAAAACAAGCAACGAAGAGTGATTTACAATGAGTTGTTATCCCTAAGTTAAAAAAAAAAAACTAAAAAAAAAGCTTATTTAAAAATACTGCTAAAAAAATTAGCCTTTGCACTAAAACAATCAGTAACCTTTATAGTATGTTTCTGGTTGCCATTACAAGACCAAATTTTGACCAATGTACAAATGAATGGTTTTTGGAAAGATTTGCATTTGGCCATTTGTAAAGCAATAGCAAGCGAAGAGAAACTGTAAGAATTGAAGTAGGAAACTTCAATTGTTGTAAATAAATGTGAGTATTGCGACTTGTTTTTAAATAATATTTTACCATCCATACATTCAAAATGGTCGGGAAATCAAAAGAAATCATATTAAAAAGAGTCAAACTATTTTTATACAACAGGGCAATGCGAAACCGCATAAAGCCATTGGTGATTCAGAATTTATGGTGAACGCGCTTCAGGATGAGTTTGATATTCGTTTAATTTGTCAGCCATCAAACAGTCTAGATATGAGTATCCTAAATTTAAAACATTTTTAAGCACTACAAAGTATATATTTTAGTTACAGCCCCCCCCCTGTTTGAGGTTGATTACCAGTAAAAACCTTTACAACCTTTTCAAGGTTGATTACCTGTAAACTAGGTTGTCAACTTTGTACATGAAATGTTTAACGAAATGGAGGGTGGTGCACTTAATAAAGTTTTCTTATTGCATCAAGATTGTATGTTAGCAATACTAAAAGTCAACGGGGAAAATTGCTACAAATGACCTTTTATTGGAAAGAACCGGTTAATCAACCAAGGTAACGCGCCAATTTCTCTTTTTGTGGAACAAAGTGTTTTAAGAAAACCTTTTAAGCTTTTAATGCAATAAATGATCTGCATTTTTGAGTTTTTTCGAGTTTGATTTTTTTCTCAAAAAATTCATTTTATTAAAAATATCTCATAAAAGTTAGTAATAAAATCAAATTAGATTAGTATTTTGGAACAAAAAAAAAAGCGAAAAAACAACAACGTGAAATCAGAACAGTATTTCGGAACAGAGGGGAGTATTATTTAAAAGTTTTAGAATAAATAATCAATAAGTTTAAAACAAGTTTTTAAATCTTAAAAATTTTTAATTTATTTTTAAATTCAAAGAATTATTTTAAGATATATAAGAATTAATATTTAAGTATTAGAGCAATATATTTTCAAATAAAAAATACTCTATGATAAAAAAAAAAAAAATTCCTTGATTTAAATCAAGGAACTTTTCCAATACAGGATACTAATCTATCCATTTCTATAGTACACAGTGCCGTGCCAGACAGCTGGTGGCACCCCCCCCAAAAGTGGGTTTTGGGCCCCATTAAAAAGTTGAGATAAAAGACAGAACATGTTGGTATTACTCATTCCACATGCATGATCAGATAATTTTAAAGCCGTTTAGCTCAAGTGGTAGAGTGCTTGTCTCTCTAATCGAGTCGACTCAAGAGATCCGGGTTTCAAAACACCCTCTACAACGGTTAGGAAGGAGGCGTGAACTTCTTAATAAATGCTTTTCCACTGTGCTCTGTGAAAAACTTCTTGGAGCACCTAAAAACAAATTATTAATAAAAAAGATATAGAAACTTGATTTTTTTTAACTGCTTGCTACAAAACTTTATTTACAAAGTGTTATTCAATGAGGTTCAACTAAATGCTTTCGACGAACTTTTGAGTCTGCAAAGACCTCAATAAAGTGGTCACAGTTTATCTTCCGGGCACAGTCACTTTCTATTGAGAGCATGGCTAGAGAAGACAGCCGATCTTGCGTCATTGTTGAGCGATGGAAATTTTTGATAAGTTTTAATTTACTGAAGCTTCTTTCAGCAGTAGCTGCTGTCACAGGGCAAGTCAACAAAACACGGGGTGCGATAGCGACATTAGGATACACCTCCTGGAGACATTTGCTGTTGATATAATTCAGAAAATGTATTGCAGTTTTTAGCTTTTCATCGTTTTCTAAAACTAGATGAATAAATCGCTTTAACTCCATCTCCATTTCAAACGGATTTATATCACCCATTTTATTGTGAAAATTCTGGCACTTCAGCAAAAAGGTGTTGTCTTTGTATGCTTGAAAAAGACTTTTCTGATTGAACAGAAATAAAAATACAGCAGCCACACCATGTGTTTGTTGGAAACGCTCCCGTACATATTGTAAAGCTTGGTCCACAAGCACAAAAAAAAAGTCAGTTTTGAACTGTGATTGGGGCGTTTGACTACCGCTTTCGTTGTCTCCTTCATAATCAAACAATTTTTTCTTCCTATTGTTGCGAATTGATGGAAAGTTTCTTGGAATATTTAGTTCTTCTGCAATTTCACGGGCTGTGAAAATGGATTCTCAAGTGTCTCAGCACTTGAGAATCCATTTTCTCGATACTTCTCTAAAAATGCCTCAGTTGCTCTGATTTCATTTTCCATAACATCTGGAGAAATACCAAAGGATTGAATGAGCTTGCTTGTTTTATTTACTTGGAATAAAATGTCGTACCAGATGACAATAGACAAAAGAAATGCCCAGTCTGAAATATATGTTATCAATGACCGAGCCTCCGTAGCTGTTTTTCCATCTTTTTTTTCTATTGCATACTCCTCCAGTTTTTCCAGTGCAACCAAAACATTGCCAAAATAATACCGCAGAGGTTTAATACAGTTAATTCGACTTTCCCATCGAGTGTCCGATTGATTTTTAACAGCAATCTCCGCATGTTCTTTCAAAATGCTCCAGCGCTGTGTGGATGATGAAAATATGGTGTACAATCTGGACAGAACACCAAAGAATGATAAAGCCCTAGTTGACGACTTGGCACTGTCAACCACAACTAAATTCAAGCAGTGATTAGCACAAGGCACATACAGAGCTTTCGGATTTGTTTGTAAAATTCGTGACTGAACACCAGAATTCTTCCCTTTCATATTAGAACCATTATCATACGACTGGCCCCGACAGTCTAACATATTCACTTTTAACTCCTTTGCTCGCTCTAAAAATGTGTCAAAAAGCCCTTTTCCTAAGCTGTCACTAATTTGAAGGTATCCAAAAAAAGCTTCCTTTATTGTGACTTCATTACCTGTATCACACTCAACAAAACGCAAAATGACTGTTAACTGTTCTTGGTTAGAAACATCTGGAGTACAATCCAGAATTATTGCAGAGTACTTAGATATCATTAGTTTTTTCAGGTTTTCTTTTTCTACTTCTTTTGCAATAAGTTGAATTAACTCATTCTGGATTTTGTTGCTGAGGTAGTGATCATGTGTTTGTTTTTTTTCAATCCTTTTCTGTAGCTCGTTCAGTACAGGATCTCTTTTTGCTAATAGCTCAAACAGACCCAAAAGGTTTCCATTGTGTGGTGAGCCAAGTACTTCTTCGGAACCTCTAAATGCTAAATTTCTTTCTGACAGGAACTTTATAATGTCAATAAGACGCTCCAGGGCATCCCTCCAAAATTGCCTTTCTTTAAGAAAAAGCTGCATTTCTTGTTTATCTATGGATGAATCATTATTGATACCCTCTTTAAGCTGCATCCATTGTCTAAAACACTTTTGATGGGATGTTCCTGTTTCATGGTCTTTTAATTTCTTTGATAGTCCCTCCCATGTACTAGTACCACTACGAAACGGACTTTCATTTGTTTCAAAAAGTTTAGAGCAAAAACAAAAAATCTTGTCAGATTTTACCGAATACACAAGCCATGAGCGAGGCACAGTTTCTCCATTATTCATCACACGCTTGTAATGAACCGTTGAAAATCGACGCCTTGCAGCAATATTGTATGGAAAGTCAATATCAACCTGTTGAGGACCACGTTTGACTAGGTCACATCGTTAAGTATCAGAAATTTGTTCAGGCCAGCTGGCTGGGTCACAAGCAACGGAACTAAAAGGTGGCAATGGTAGAGTGTACAACTTTTCTATTGTGTTAGGTTGATTATTCGCAATATCTAACTGTTCATGAATGACCACTTCATTAGAGCAATTTTTTTCATTGCTGGTGCAATTACTTGGAATAAGTGTAAAGAATGATTTAACTTTGGGAAGTTTGCTAATTGCATCTTTTGTTGCTGCTGCCTCTTTTCTTTTAGTTGCACCTGACTTTGAAGGCTTCATTATCTAAAATGAAAAATAGATTTACATGATTTTTATTCATAGTATTAGACTGTAATACAATATTTTAAATGTATACAATCTATAAAAACTATATATTATTATAAATAAGGTTTGGGTTTAAAAAGAAAAAAATATTTTTTTTGTATGCACTTTGCATGCACACTTGTATGCGCGTGCAAATTATGCACAAGTATTTTTAAATACTTAACACTATGTTAATAACAGATAATTTTACATTTTTTTTACAAAATTTTTATAGTAAATTCTTATATTATTGGAAAAGAATGTGTATTAGGAAATCCATTTAAATATTATGTAAAAAATATATTCTTATTAATGTTATAATCTAGTAACGAAAAAGCAAAAAGTATCATCCAATGCTGATAAAACTTAACCACTAAAATGTAGCTTATATATTATTTACAAACTATATAAACAAATTAATTTCTGCTTACTTAAAAGTGTTTTTATTTAGACAACTGGAGTCGTTTCTACAAATACAATACAATTAAAATCCTTGTATCTAAATACAAATAAATCCTTGCTACTAAATACAATTAAAAAACCCGTGAAAAACTAGAGTTTGAAAAATGTGAATCAAATAATAGTTTGGAGTTTTGTATACAAAAGTTTAACTAAAATTAAGTATAGATTAACGTAGCAATACAATAGCATATTTCTCAATAGGTTTAGCATAAACAAAAGCGAAACATTCTAAACAAAAGTTTAACTAATTTAAAACGTCCATTAACTTAGCAAATACAATATAGGTTTAAAAAAAAAAACACTTTTATCATAATTTTAATTTAGTCATCATCTCAAAAAAAAAATTTGCATACTGCATAGAAGAGCCCCTTTAAATTCATGGGCCCCCCCAACCGGGGGGTTTGGGGGGCTCTAGGCACGGCACTGATAGCACAGGCTATAAAACCATCAAATTCGATAATTTATAATATTAACAGCAACAGCAGTAACAGCAACAAGAACAAAAACAACAACAAGAACAAAAACAACAACAAGAACAACAACAAAACAACAACAACAACAAGAACAAGAACAACAACAAAAAACAATAACAACAACAAAAATTAACAACAACAACAACAACAACAACAACAACAAGAACATCAAAAAATTATAATAATTAAAAATAAATTTGAATAAATTTAATTAAATTCTAAACTAATAACTATATATGTTATTTTTTTAAAGAGTAACAACATAATTTTTTACCTTCAAAATCAATCTTTCACACGAAGACGTGCGATCGTATTTCCTTATATGACCAGGCAAATTATATTTTGCTATCACGATTTGACCGCGGCTGTTTCAATAAACATTTTAAAAACGCGCATTTTTAAATTTTGAAAATATGTCAAAAGCCGTGGTCAAGTCGTCAAAACAAATTGTTTTTTGCGTGGTCATATAAAGACGTGCACGTCTTCCTGTGAAAGACTGAATATGTGATTTTATATAATTTATTTCTATTAGCATTTGCTCAGTATTGTATTAATGATGGTGTTACAGATTTTCAATTGACATCAAGTGGATATTATGTTGATTCTTCTATCTCATGTGTTAGTGTTTGCAATTCTTATTCTCCAGGAGTTTTCTTTTATGCATTTTACCTTGAAAAACAACTTTGTTTCTGCAAAAATTCATCACAATTAAATATTACTCCAAGTAATTGTAGTACAACTCAATGCCTGATTGGCAGCACAAATTGCATTTTAAGCAATTATGAGTATTTTCCACTTTCATTAGGTATTATTGATTGGGAAATAACTTTCAATCCCAATCCTGCACTTGTTGATAATGAAGTTCAAATACAAACAAAAATTTCAAAAGGTAATTTTTTTATCTTTCTACCTCATTTTCTAAATTTACCTTTTTACCTACCAAATTTTTATTGTCTGTTACTTTATCAGTTTTTGTATTCTATAGTACTTTATTTTATTGTTTTACCTTTTATTTACCTTTTTTTAGTATCATTTAATATTTAGAATTGTTTTTATTTTTGTTTTATATAGTACTTGTATTTTTTAGTTTAGTATGTATTAAATATTTTTAGTATTTTTTTTCTCAAATTATATAGTGATATATTTTTTATTACATAACTTCAGTATTTTTTCATTAAACATTTTTTGTACTTTTACCTCAAAGTATGTATTTTTAATTCTTTTTAATTTTTTTTTTACTTAAAAAAATTTATGTTGCACAAACTCAGATTTGGCTGTTTGGATTTTCTGTAGTGAGGTCTGTTTTATTGCAATAATGATTTATAATATAAAATACAAGTGATGATATAGTTAGCAAAAATGTTATATATATCATTATAGATATCTGAATATAATACTTATAACCAGGGCCGTCCCGAAGAGGTCTTCCATGGGAGGGGGGTGTAAGTATTTTTTTGCCAACTAAGAATACAAAAAAAAAAAAAGGTCCTCAATACTTGCAATTTGCTAACTATAAATATAGCAAACTATATTTATATTTAAATTTGCCAACTATAACTTTAATATAAATATAGTTAGCGAAATGCCAACATAAAAAGCATTTTCAGTTAGCACATTGAGCAAAACTTGCTCAATGTGCCAACTCAATTGCTTAAATGACAGCTTTGGGGGGGTGGGACACCCCCAACATCCCTCCTTTGGGACGGTCCTGTTTATAACTACTTTAACAATAAATGAATTAATATTGAATTTAATATTCCTGCTATTACTGCTGCTACTGCTACTTATTTGTGCATACTTGAGATAAAGCTCATGACAGCCATTGCACCTGAGTTATTAATGAAGTGTTGCAGCACTTTTTTTTATAAGAAAATATAAATGAAAGTGTATGCATATATCAAACTTAATAAAACTATAAATTATGAAATGTTAAAAGTTATAACATGTTTTACTTTTACCTTAATATTGCATTGGGGCAATATCTCCTTAATTTTATTTACAGCTTTTAATTGCGGTTTTATAAAGTTATAGTTTTTTTGCTTAGTAAATAATGTTAAAAACTATTATTAAAGTATGCCTAAGTGGCCGAAGTAAATTGCTTGCTGTGTTTCTGAAGTGCATCACGAGGTTCAAATCCTTTAGTTTTGTGCATTTAATTTCCTTTTTCAATTTTTCTAAAATACAAAATAAAACATCTTTAAAGTTCTGTAGATATTATATAAATAACATTTATAAAAGTAATATATACGATAACTAACAAAAAGAAGAGAATTTTATAAAAGCTTAAACATTTTAAAAATATCAAAACATCTTGAGAAATTTGTTGTGCCTAAGTCACTTATGTTATTAATATGCTTAGGTTGTTAGTTAAGATTGTGCATTTAACACACATAAAGAGGTAACTTTCTTTCTTATATGAAAAAAGGTTTTACATTCCAACTTCTATTTTACAACTTGTTAATGTTTATTTCTGTATTAAGATGTAGAGTTGTCAAAAAATCTTTAGTAATCCTAGGTTTAATTCTCACTGAAGTGTGTTTTTGCAAATCAAATACAAGTTCTTAACTCAAAAAAAAAATTTTAATAATAAAAAGTAACTTTTTGCATATTGTTCTGCTTTTTTTTTACAAAATTTTATAACATAACTTTAGCTTAAGGGTTATTTGTATTTTTTAAAATGCATTTTAGCATATATGTTTTTTGATAAAAAGCATTTAGTAAAAAAGAACAAACTTAAATCTGAAATTTTAAAACTTAAAATTTTTTAGCATATACTTAAAGCAATCTAGTTAAACATAATTTCAGCATCATTCATTATTGATTATCTGAGCATTAAAAAATTATTTATATAATTTTTTAATGCTCTATATCTATTTTTTATGCTCCGATATATCTTTTTTTTGTTGTTGCATATTTTAGGTGATGCTTCAAGTGCATATGTGATACCAACAACTAATGGCTTAACAACTAATGGCTTACCATCAGATGTTCAAAGTGTCATTGGCACAACAGTTAAAACACATTTTTATTTGCCTGGTTTACAACTTTGGTCTCAAAAAATAGGAAATAACTATTCCAATCCAATCAACACATCAGTTTGGTTACAAATAGATGAAAAAGTTGGAGGTGTATTTGTAAATCCTTTAATTGTTGATGTCAATGGCTTTTACAATTTCTTTTTGGTCATTACTCAAGGCACTAGAGTTAGTGTAAATATATCACTACCAATGAATAAAAATGTAAACTTTACTGCTGGTATGTTTTATATTAAGAAATTTTTATTTAAATATTTCTTTGTTGTTCATTTTGTTTCTACAACACATCATTTTTAGATTGGGTTTAGTTATAAAATATTAATTATTATTAAAACTAAATAATCTAATTTTATAGTATATTAAAGTCATTTATTTTTATTATATACCCACATGATTAAGATTTCTTAAACATACTTTTTTATTAATTTTATATTAAATTTTGGAGGGAAATAAAGTGGAAGACTTTAAATAAGAGAAATAGTGAAAAAATGTTTTCCAACTTATATCATTATGTTTTTTTAAATTATGTGTTTTGGTACTTGTTTTTCTGTGCTGCGACCTTGCTCTTTAAGGTTTGTGTTTTAGAGTCTTAGAGTTGAGATAGGGTTGTAACCACAGTTAAAGTAACCTTCTTGACTGTAGTGACCTTTATGGCCTCAAGGAGGTGAATTTTATTTTAATCTCACTAACTTCTAACAAAAAAAAAAAGGGGTAAAAACTTTGTTTATATTCCTAATCATTTTTATACTCAAAGTTGGTACTTACTTCATAGATCATTATTTCACTAGGGAAAAAAGTTTCAATCTATGTCATGATTTGCCCACAAAAAAATTACAATGCATGCAAAATTGCAGGGAAAGCTCAAGATATATGTTTTAAATTGGAAATTCTATTGATTTACTATATGCACTTCCTAAAAAAAACAACTACTTAACAGTTCAATTTTTAATTTAATTTTTATTTTTGATTTAAATATAAATTATAAATAAATATAAATATTCCTTTTGATTTAAATAGGCAAAAACTAAATTGATCTTTGTCTATTTAAATCAAAAGGAATATAAATATTCCTTTTGATTTAAATAGACAAAGATCAATTGAATTGGTTGTAACAGTTATTTTAAAATGAACGATAATTTACATAAGTAAGAGCAAAATGTAAATGCTAAATTTAAAATGAACAATAACTTACAAAATTATGAACAAAATGTAAATGCTAAATTTAAAATGAACAATAACTTACAAAATTATGAACAAAATGTAAATGCTAAATTTAAAATGAACAATAACTTACAAAATTATGAACAAAATGTAAATGCTAAATTTAAAATGAATGATAACTTACAATATTATGAACAAAATGTAAATGCTAAATTTAAAATGAACAATAACTTACAAAATCAAGAAAAAAAAATGTAAATGCTAAATTAAAACAAGTGATAACTTACATATGTAAGAACTAAATTTATGAATAGTTAATAAGTAGCAGTAATTTTTTTTCTTCAATTTATGATTTACATTTTATGCATAACGTTTTTTTTAGATGTTATTTGCTTGTCGTATGGATTAGACTTGTCTATGTTTTATAATACATCTGATGGAACTTGTAGTCTTAAAAATGGTTTCATTTTAAATCAAGTTATTTTATCGTCTGGTTATTTGAAAAAAATTAAATTAAAAGTTTCTGATACAGGAACGTTAAAAATTGCTGTAAGTTTTATTCAAAGGTGTTTTTCATTTTTAAATTTTTTTTTCTTCTGTTGTGGTATTAATCATTTTGAGTTGTAAAGTGATATTGGGTCAAGGCAGAAATTTTAATAAAACCATGAGAAATATTGTTACACTGTTGTCAATAATTTTATTAGTTTGTATTGTAATTCACAAGGCAATAAATTTTGGTTATTCTTATACAGTTGTATGATTATAAATGATAATATATATATTTTTTTATTAAATATATTCTCTCATATCTTATATATATATATATATATATATATATATATATATATATATATATATATATATATATATATATATATATATATATATATATATATATATATATATATATATATATATATATATATATATATACTGTCATATCTTAACATAACAGTTATTTTACGTGAGAAAGACCTTGGTTGTCCCTACTTTATTGTGATTTTATCAAAATCTTTGCAATTTAAGATTGTAGTACAGTATGAGTTGTTATTACTTTTTTTTTTTATTTCACAGATTTTGAGGCCATCAATTAGTTCCACAATTTTTTGTGCTTTGGGATCAAGTTGTACAAACACTTTAAATACTTTTAATCCAGTAACAGCTTTAGTTGTAAAAAGTAAGTTATTCTTTTTGTTTGTTATTTTTTTATGTTTATATCTATCTTTATTTTCTACAAATCTCATATCCTTTTTTATATTCAATACTGTTGAAATATGGCTGTTTCTTCTAATGACACTATTTCTAATTTAGACAATATGTGTGTTGTATAACATACTCTTGCTGCCAAACATAAATAATTTCAAAAGATTGTTCTCTTTTTTTTTTTTTTTTTCTTATTCTCTTAACTTTCTTGCTTTTTTATTTATGACTTGCACCAGCATCTAATTCATGAATATGTATCAAGACCTTTTTGGGGTTAAATTAAAAGCTATTAAAATTATAAAAATATTTAAAAATATAAGTGTTTCAATGGTGTGCATTGCAATGGTTATAGGTGAATTATGTTATTGGTGAGTGATGTAATGAAAGAATAGCAACACAAGTGGTTAAAAAGTCTAAATCGACCATAATTCATTTCAAAAATATTTTATTTGAATATTGTGTTTAAAAGTATTTGAGTTGATTTTTAGTGAAGGAAAAAATAAATTTACTTATTAACAAACAGTTGTGCAACCAATAAGTAATGTATGTAAGTAATATAATATACAAAGCCAACCGAAAGGCGGTGTAAGTGGTGCAATCACACAAAGCCCTGTAATTCCAAAGGCCCCAAGCTTGGAAAGGTCCATTGCATTAAGACTTAGAATCAGGCATAACAAAGTTTTTTTTTTTTTTGATTTATGTAAAAAACATGTATATTATTAATAAAGTAACAATAATGTTTAAAAATTCCATGCACACTATTTATGTTTTTTGAACCTTATTGTGTATTTCATATACAAAAGAATAAAAGAAAACCTTATATTTTTGATTAAAAAACAAGCTTTTTGACATTCCTCTGAAAGTGTTTTATAATTTATGATAAAAATGATCTATTTTTACAACTTTTGACTAAAAGTATTCTGTTTTTATAAATATATAAAACAATGTTCTATTTTTATAATTTACAATAAAAAAACAATCTATTTTTTAAACATTTTAAAATTTAAAAAAAATTTTCTTGTTATTTTTTCCCGCTAAATCTTATGGTGTTGTTCTTTATAATAGACAAAGTTGTTTTTAGAAAGTTCCAAAAATGACTTTAAGGGAAAGAGATGCTGGACAATATTATACGTGAGGCTATGATATATTAAAAAAGAAAAGAAAAAGAGAAGACGCTGCAGCAAAACAATGAGATAGTCTGACAAACTTTTAAAACCAGAAAAGTAAATTAGAATAAAAAAAGAAAAAAAAAATGTTCTTTTTGCTGATTACAGCTATATGCTTCAGTTTTAAAAGTCATAACTTTTAGATTGCTCCATTTATCTCTTTTCTGAAGGTGTTACAAAACATTAGGGTTAGAATGGTTGGTGAATTTTAACCTAAATAAAACTCAGTTGTTTACTGATGATAATTATTGCAATATTGTTTATGTTCTTGTTTCAATGAATTGTCCTCTACTTTTGGTCTTTTTAAATTATCTTTTACTTCTTATGGTAACCATATATAAAATCTATTTTTAAGTTAGCATTTGCATAAGTTTGTCACTATTTTGTTTTCCATTTTCTTTCTCCTAGTTTCTTTCTTTACCTCTATAAATCTTTTATTTGACCTTGTATGTAATTCTGTAGTTGTATTTGGGCTGGTTCTTCTAATGAGGCTCTATCCTTTATTATCTTTTGATTATTTTATTTTTCTTTATTTATTATCTCATCTATTTAATCAATCAAACCATCATTACTTGTTCCAACAGCCAAAACCCAATCTCATGTGACTGGTCGTTCTGCTAAGTGGAACCCATTTTACTTTAACTTCTTGTTCAAAACTTCCTTCATGTTCAAAAAACTTTTATTTATCTAGTTTTTTTATCCTTGAACATCAATGCTTTATAATTCTTTATGTATCAGTTGTTGTTCCTCATTTTTAATATGCTCAAGTGGTGATGGTGGTGGTGGTGGTTGTAGTGTAGTAGTGGTGGTGGTGGTGGCGTGATGATGATGATGATGATATAAATAATAGAATAAATAAGATACAAAAAATAAACAAATACAAGAAATAAGAGCAAAATATACATTAGTTTCTAGAGTTAGTTAATGAAAAAAAAATTTACAAATATTAATGAAATAATTTATTAAATTTTTCAGTGAATAGTGATAACAAAATGGTAAAATAATGAATGATTTAAAAATTAATGTCACATTCTATTTCTTTACTTTTTTATTTTTGTCTAATTAAAACCAATTTATATTTACTATTATGGTTTTCTCTTTTTTTTTGTTAATTGAATGAAAAAATTAATTAACTTTTTTATTTAATTAATGAAAAAAACAAAAAGTTGAAAAATTAGCATATATTAGAATAAATTATAAAAGTACAAAATTTATAAAAGTACAAGAAAATATAAAGTATGTTCAAACAAACAGAAGTTTTGCAGAGAACTACCAATACTAAATATAATTAGTTGTAAATAGAGAAACCATAATAGTAAATATTAATTAGTTACATTAGGCATAAATAAACAAGTAAAGAAATTGAATTTTTCTTTATTTCACTATTTTTTTATAATCACTATTTTGTATTTATATGATTTAATAGCTTTTATTCATTGCTTTTTAAAAAATTTTCTTTGTACTAGTTTTTAATATTGTGCTTAATATTCAAAAAATTAATAAAATATTCAAAAAAAGCCTGCTAACCTAAAAAATTAATAAAATGTTAAAAAAAAGCCTGCTAACCTAAAAAATTAATAAAATATTAAAAAACATTTTTTCCAATAAATTTGTGCTCTCTCTTTTCTAAAATATTATTTATTATAATAATTATAAGTAAATATTTATTTTAAAAATTCATTTTACAATAATTTTATTTATTATATTTATTTTACGCATTTATTGTTAAATATTTTTTTCAATATCTAGATATTGCTTAAATATTTTTTTTACATGGTTATTTTTTTAAAGTTGATTTCAAATTGATTTTTTATAGAGTTTTTATTTTCACTACCTATTAAAGGTATTATTGAAATACCTATGCAAAACATTGCTGTTGAAGAAAATGACGTTATCTGGATTGGAGGAAGTGCCAGTTTATATTGCAATGGAGTAAATTATGCACCAATGGTTGAAATGGATCTTGGGAGTATTGTTACATTTTCTATGAATGAAACCAATAACAATGGGTTTTTTATATCATTTTTTGTATCAAAGCCAATTGAATATTATATTCCAGTTACAACAAATACACCAGGCTTGTTCAATTTTGTTGTTGATGCCTCCAATAATGTTTCATCTTCTAGAAGATTAAATTATTCATATCCTATTCAGGTTTTTTAATTTCTAAATGTCTACTATATACTAAAATACCACATTTAAAACACTAATATACCTACATTTTTTATTTCATATTTTATATATTATATAGTTTATGGATTAAAAAAAAAAATTAAAAAATAACCAAATTTTTTTTTATATGCGATTACACAAGAGTAGGGTGGATTTGAATCTCAAACCTTTAGATTGTGAGCCAAGTGTCTTTTTCTAACTATGTTATCTAGGTTAATGACATTTAAAAAGTTTGAATTTGATCTTTCTTTTTTATTTTTTTATTTATTTGCATTCACTCCCAACAAGGCTGCAAGCAACCACTATTAAGTTGGGAGTTACTAGGAAAAAAAAAAAGAACAGAGTTATAGAGCAAGGAAACGATTGACAGAAGACTTGAAAAGTTGAAGGTTGTATGAGTCAGGAAAACATGAAGATGGGAGAGAGTTCCAAAAGATTGAAGTGCGGGGAAAAAAACTAGATGAATAAAAGTTTTTAGAGCATGCAGGAACAGATACAGTAAATGAATGAGACTTAGCTGAATGACGAGTAAAACGAGAATGAATTTTAGTTGATGGAACTAGAGATGATAACTCCTTTGAGCAGTGACCATGATAGTATTTGTAGAAAAGAGAAAGAGATGCAACTTTACAACGATGGAAAAGAGGTTCAAGCTTAGCAGATAGTCCAGGTCCAACAACATTTACAATGCGATTTTGGAGCTTGTCAAGAAGAGAAAGTGAATCGGTAGAAGAACCAGCCCAAATATGACAACAATATTCCATACAGGGACGAATAAGAGATTTGTAAAGGTAGAGAATGGAATCAGAAGTAAGGAAATGGCGAGCACGATAAATAGAAGCAACCTTAGCAGAAGCTAATTTAGCAATCGATTGTATATATGGTTTCCATGAAAGGTCAGTAGTAAGCGATAATCCAAGAAGATGTAAAGAGGAGTACTCAGTAAGAGGATTGCCATTCATTAATATAGAAATGTTGACCATATTACGGTAGTTATTTGCAGTAAGCAACTGGGTTTTTTTAGAGTTGAAATTCACAAGCCACTGTGAACCCCAATCTATTACTGAAGTGAGATCGGATTCAAGATCAGCTGCTTGTTCTAGGCGATCGAAAAGAGAAGACTTTTTGTCAAGACAGGAGTATAAAGTTGAGTCATCAGCAAAAAGAGCTACTTTAGATGTAAGGTTGTCAGGAAGATCGTTTATGTAGATAAGAAACAAAACAGGGCCCAGGATGGAACCTTGGGGAACCCCAGAAGTTACTGGAAATAAAGAAGAGTGTTGGCCTTCAAGGATAACTTTAATAAACCGGTTAGAAAGAAATGATTTGATAATATCAAAAACTTTCCCAGAAACACCATATGAGGCAAGCTTATGAAGAAGACCAGCATGCCAAACTTTGTCGAAAGCTTTAGATATGTCGAGAGCAATAGCTCTAGCCTCACCACCTCCATCTAATGCACAATATAATCTTTCAGTTACAGCAGTTAGCAAGTCGGCCGTAGAGCGAGAGGATCAAAAACCGTATTGATTGTCTGACAGTAGTTTATTTGACTCAAGATGAGATGTGAGGAATTTGTTGATCAAAGACTCAAAGACCTTGCTGATAACAGAAAGAAGACTGATCGGACGATAATTGGAGGGGTCAGAATTTTCACCAGAGTTTTTGAATATTGGAACTGTAGATGCCATTTTCCAACAAGCAGGAAAACAAGACTCATTCAAACACTTGTTAAATAGTTTAGAGAGAATTGAAGAAAGTTCTGGAGAACAATTCTGCAAGACTGTGACAGGAATGTTGTCTGGACCACAAGCTGTAGATCTAAAGTTTAATAGAGTTTCTCTTTTACACTTTTACTCTTTTTTACTCTTTTAAACTTTTTTTTGTTTAAAATACCATATTCTATGTTTAAAATGTTACATTCTATGTTTAAAATGTTATATTCTATGTTTAAAATGTTATATTCTATGTATAAAATGTTATATTCTATGTTTAAAATGTTAAATTCTATGTTTAAAATGTTATATTCTATGTTTAAAATGTTATATTCTATGTATAAAATGTTATATTCTATGTTTAAAATGTTAAATTCTATGTTTAAAATGTTATATTCTATGTTTAAAATGTTATATTCTATGTTTAAAATGTTATATTCTATGTTTAAAATGTTATATTCTATGT